TTCCTGCTTTTTTTGGAAACACACTGATTTCTGTTATTTCCTCAAATCTGCTAAATCAGCGAGTTGTGCATAGACAGGTTTCTTTCTAAATAAATTAAACTAAGTTATAATCAGGGAAATTTTTCCCTAATTGTTTCCCATAGCTGAAGTTCATTACAACCCCAGTGCTGTAACTCCAGAAGACGGTGAGACCAAACATCCTTGTTCACGAAGAATACTGCCCACGGATACAGGGCTGCGCTATCCACAGAACGCAGGATTTTTTCATTGATACTGAATTTGTTTTCTTCTGATTATCTAATGATGGTTCTCTTTTGTGGCACGTAGAAATAAACACTGACCTAAATAATTACTTCTAATGTATAATTATCCTCTGAACACAACTATAGAGCTAAAACATCCTGTGATTCAACTCACTAGGCTTTGGTGGAGTGGCAGTACTGACCACGTAAGGATTTGGTCCCCCTCTGATTCCAGGATTAGCCCTGATGTTAAACAGAGACTGGAAACATTCTCTTCCTCATGATTAGCCCTTCTCATAGTTTGTCCTCTTTTTTTTCTCTTTACACCCTCCTGTGATCCTTCTGCTCCCTTCATCTGATACTTATCCTCAGAACCTAATACCCATAGTATTGAGTTTCAAGTCATATTTTTAAGCCTGTTGGCTGACTGTCTCAGGCAGGGATGTCTAAGTTCCTCAGCCAGAATCTTTCCTTACTTTTTCTGAGATGGACTTTGATCAACTTATACACTAAGAAATTAGACTCAGCTTTCCAAGATGTTCCTTTCAGTTGTATGTTTTTATTTTCAGACATGCTGGCACTGCTGACTTGGATTTAGGTATCTAAGGAGATGTAGATCTGTGTTTAAATGTTTGAAAATGTTACCCAGTACCTTCAAATGGCATGTGGAAACAAGAAAAACTGAAATTCCCACCTCTAATGGGTACCCGTGTGTACAATATCAGTTTCAGATTACCTCTCCTGAAAAAAAAAACAAACCAAAAAAACCAACCTTGAACAATAGCAGATAAAATCCTACTATCTTTGGAGGTGGCGATTAAGAAGTTTGCCCTTTAGTAATACTTTGGTGCGAATACAGCAGGAGGTAAACTCCATTTCATAACATCACAAGACAGACTAAACTTTCCTCGCCTACTTAAGAGGGGTTTTTTTCAGCAAATGTGTTTGAATCAGTAACTTGCCTGCTCAACCAAATCCTAGTTTCAGTTTTGAATGCCTTTCTCTGTATCGTTCCAATAAAGATTTTTTGATGATTGCTAATACAGTAAAATACTAACCTACAACGATGACAAAGAAGTAAAAAAAATATAATGGAGCGATGTCTTAGAGCTGGTATGTACGATAACAAATACAAAAGGTTCTTTTATTCTGTGAATAACTCCCACGCAGCAATTAGTGGAAAAAGATGAATATTTCAATGTACAGTAGCTACAGCCAGCCTACTTGAAATTAGACATATCACCTTCAGTTCCTTGGGTTTCAGGGAGAAATGTTAGCATTAAAAACATGCAAACAAGTTCCACCTCATACCCACTTTCTTGTAACTTGAAATTACTTTCAATCAGAAAGAAATGCAATATAAAATACAGTTCAGTATGTCAGACACTTCCACTATCATCCTCTGCTTGTATTCTTTATTTTCATTAGTAAACTTCGTTCCACGATCTGCTGCTGAATACAAGTTTTCCCCGCTTAGCAATGAGAAGCAGGACACGCTGTGCCGCGGTGCTGTGTGCTAAAGCTGCGCCTCACTCCCCTTGCACCCCTAATCTGGCTGCTGCGTACCCCAGGGGGGTCCTAAGGAAGGAGGCTGCAGAGGTCTTCGGAGGAACTGGAGCTTTAGTCCTCCCCTGAGTCCCTTTTACATCAGTTTGTCTCTGCTATGACATCAGCAAGTCTAGGTGGAGGGACAGTCTGACCCCATTTCCTTCTCCACCAGCCTGCTTTGACTCTCACTGTTCTCTTTCGTGCCGTAATTCTTTCTGCACACACTTTATGGGACAGAAGGCAATAGGCTTAAATTTAGACTAGACATTAGGTAACAATTTCTAATTTTAAGGAATAAGTGGTCTAGAGAGCACATGGAATTGCCATCACTGTGGGTCTTAAAAAACAGTGATAAGACAAATACCTGCCGGAATTGGTGTAAGTACAGTTGATTTTGCCTTAGGGCAAAGGATGGACTGGAAGACCTGTTGAAAGTCCCCCCAACTCTATTTTCTATTACTCTAATTTAAAATAAAAAGGCAGCAAAAGAGGATCAATACAAGAGCAACATGAGACTGGCCTTACCTCCTGCATACTGTAATTGTTTAATTACCTTCCCGATAAAAGACAAAATGTACCTTGATTTTCTGAAGTTTTTGCTAAATGCCCTCATAAATTATTAAATGATTAGAAGCAACAACAATTTCGATAAAAGCTGGACAAGCAATGAGAAAAGTGCTGGAATACTTAAGACTTCTCAGGCTGCCAAGAAATGGCTGGAAGTGCCATTTCTTGGGCAGACCCATCAGCGTGTTTCCTGCTTTGGAGGTGTAACAGTGGGAAGAAGAGCAAGCTCTACAGTGTGGAGCGACGTCAGGTCTCCATTCTTGCTATCTTTTTTTTTTTTCCTAGTCAAAAAGCAAAATCCAGAAGTAAATTTTTAAAAACCTGTCCACTTGCTTATGCAAGATGCGAAGCGCTGTTTGTTCTGGGAAGGCGGTTAGCCCACTTCCACCCTCCATCATGTGCCTAATGGCTTTTCCAGCTAAACAGCGTATCACTTATCTTTCAAGCACGGCATTGTTTAGGTTGTCAGTTGGAATGAAGATGTGTAATTTTCTTTGGGCTGAGATGATATCTTCTGCGCCGGCAGCATTACATTTGCTCTTCTCCAACATATCTACGCTGACATTTTGTCACAGAATCATGCCTTGATGGTTTTCACAGGGAGAGGACGTGCACAAAGACAAATCTAATACAAAATTGCTACGTGCTTGTGATTCACATCCTAATAATTTTAAGTGATGGGAACAGCTTCCGCATCTCTGGCTTGAACGTGACCTGATGGGCGGCTGTGCGTTACCGATACAAACGCATCCCCCTCCCTGCGGTTTTGATCGTCCCATTTGACTCTGCTCACCCTCTGAGAAAGCAGCAATCTAAAAGCTCCTTTGATTTCTCAGTCATTCTCCTTTACTCCTCGATTGCTTATTTTTAGCAATACATACACCAGGAAATGAGTGCTCTATTTTAAGCCAATGAAAGAAGGAATTCTGAAAGTATATTTTTCTGTGAAGACAATTATCTGATGTCAGATCTCAGTGGGTTGTTCACAATAGGTTAGAAAATGCTAAAGAAATAAAAAATTATAGTAAAATCACTGCAGCAGCTGTGATGACTTGAGCAAAACCCTCCCCACTCCCATCTTACTAAAACTCCACCATCTATCATACCAGGTAAGTCGGTGGACGCAGATCCAAGGTCTAGGCAGCTCACTCAAGGGTTCCTGGAGACTTTTATGTCTCTGCATGGGCAAGTGGCTAAAGCTGCCTTCCAGCTCAACGCATCTACAGTGCTTTGATAACCATGTGACAGATAAACATTACATAGGATGACAATCAAAGGTCAGTACAGCTTGTTTAAGTTTTCTTCTGACAGTTTATGAATACACACTAGTGGTTAGCATACAGGTATATACTAACAGTCAAGATGTAGAATTCTTTCTAAATTTAGCAGGCAATTATTATTGGGACAATGAAAGAAATGTCATTATGGGAAACGATTTGAGATTAAAAATCAAAATACTGGGAAGATAATTACCTATTGCATAAGATGACTGTTAAGTCTTAAGGCACAATACTCTGTGCTTTTAGGTATCAGAAAGTATTTAGTGTGTAATGGCACTCTCATGGTACTAAATTAAATGTATCATTGAGAGTTTCAAGGATCCCAAAAGAATTACGCTCGCTTTATTATTCCATTGCCTGATTGTTCCTGTAATGGAAGAAATTCAAGGATACATTCCGGTGCTTATTTTTCTCTCTTTTCTGAGAAATTACACCAGTATTTCACCAGCCATTCTCATCCTGAAACTGGCTGAAGAAACTCTTGGAAAAGGAAGCTGGAAGGGATGCAAGAATGGTGAAACAAGATAAAAGGTATTTGGAGCCATTGATTAATGAGAGCATTTGAGAACCCGTCACAGCCAGACCGAGTCTCACAAACACCGCTGAATAGTCTGCGCTTAGACATTGTACCAAAGTCAGAAACTGTTTTCTTAGATTTTAACCAAGAAGATATCAGTCTTGTCCCTGTATCACACAGGAATGCTGCTCCTGACAGCTCATCCAAACTGACCTTCCATCTCACCTTCATAACACTGAGGGCTGGGATGGCATTATTTTTGCTCCTAGACATGCTGGTAATTCTTTTGATATTTGAAAGTGTAACTGGATAGCTCATCTTCAGTTCCAAAAACCAGGGACGCAGTTCCAATCAAACATTGCTGCAGGATTTGATGCCTTGAGCGCGCAGTTCCCTTTGCCCTTGGTGTAGAATCAACTCCACACAGATGATAGGGAGATAAACTCGGTAATAAACCAATGTGTTTTTCTCCTAAACGGTTAGTCTTTGACAATGAATGGTTACACTCTGCTATGAATGTGATGCAGACAAGTAAATTGTCTCTAAAGTGCCTTAAAAAGATATCTTCCTTTTTAATAGCTCAGTAGTTGTTTCATCTCCAAGTGTTGAGGACACTGGGCAATGGTACAAAATCAAAATACAGGACAGAGAAGATGTTCCCATTTAGTGGTGAAAATCATCAGACTGAGAGACACTGAAACCAAGCTCTTGTGCTCACAAGTGAAGACATCCAGCACGGGCAGCGCCTTCGGCAACCTCCCTCCCCATTGCCTGACACTGGTAGCTCCGAAATGGACACCTGGCAAGATGGGGAGGTGATGTCCTCTCAGTTTAGGGAATGACTTATTCCCGTTCTCGCAGTGGGGCAGAGCAGACCTGGCAACATCCCTGGATGAGTTAGCAATTTGCTCTGAACACGGACCGCTGTCTCTGACATCGACGCTCACTCCGGGTGTGCACTCCGGCTTTCCCCTTTAATACTTGCCTGCCTGAACACTAGGAAATGGCTTGGGAACAGTCACACAAGTCATGCAGCCCACCAAATGGCTGTCAGATAAAAGCTTCATCTTACTATTGATGTGAGTCATGATACTCTTTGTCCCCTCATCTCGCCGTTATTTGTCATGCTGTTGGCAATTTCAATTTTAAAGAGAAGACACTGAAACTGCAACACAGACGCAAATCAGAAATAAGGCAGTAACACACACCCATCCCTGAGAGACTGCTGTCTCTAGAGCAGAGACTCCTCTTCCCAACACAAAGGTGGCAAAGCCAGTTCAGAAAACACTAGGAAGAAAAAGCTATTTCAGATAACATCATTCTAGCTATAACTGCAGATCCTAGCTTATAAGCTAGAGTTGTTAAAGGACTCCAGGTTAGGACATCTTGATGGAGGAGTCCTCCTTCACCTTTACGTCAAAAGATGACCTAAAAGAAATGCTATTGAGATTTGCTGGAAGGGAAAGATGTACATTGATACAGGCAGACTGCGAGACTTCAAATCCGTTATCCGTTTTCTGCCTCCAGGGAGAGGTAAGAGGAATGTGCCTGTGGGGACCCAATGGCAGGGTCCTGCTCTGTGCTGCAGAGCCTGGGCACGAGGACAGCAATGTCTGTAGGAGAAGTCTTAACCTGAGAAAAGCCTTTTCTAAGAGAGGATGCCACAAGACAGTCTACCAAAATTCAAGGCTAGGACAGACAAGCTGTTCTGTATCTCTCTGCCATCACCACCCGAAGAACATAAACGTCAGTTCGCTCCGTGGAGAGACAGAGAGATGCATCAGCCAGCGATAAACAGATGGCAAAATTGCTAGGAGAGACAATTAAGCAAGGGTCAAAAATGAGTTTAAGACATAAAAGAAGAATTAGGACTACTAAATAGTTCTATCCAGAAATGATGCAAATAATGACCCTAGAAAGTGAGTTACAGTAGTCCTAAAATAAGACCCAGGCTGGCTAATATAGCTGTAGGTCACTGTGTGTCAGTTTTGTGTTCCTAGTGCTCTAGCTACAAAGGATTTCGACATATTTGCATATATAAATGTTGACTCTGCATGACCAATATATACTGAAATAATAAAAATGCGCTACACGCAATAATTACAACTTTGGAAAATCAGTTTCTTTAATGGGGTTTGAGATTTTGGCTGTTTTGTCCACATTTTGGCTTGGTGCAGAGCAAATGGTTCTGAAAGAGATTTTTCTGAGTGGGTGACACTGTGAAATGACTGAAGTCAGCAGTCACACTGCATTAAAACAGAAAATGTGCAGTAAAAAATATATCTAAATGATATACTCTTAAGTATATTACTTGGGGTTTTTTTTCCAACATGGAGTTCAAAAGGAACATTCATTTTCTATGAATGTTGTGTGTGTTTTCTGGTATTTTAAGCAATAGCCAGGCTTACCCAAATTGCTCTTCTCTTCACCAGAAGACAGAGCTCTAAAATAACGCCTTAGAGTTGTTTACTGTTTGGAATAATGAAGCCTTCTCTTCCTTTTCAGCTGGATTTGCACAACTGAAAGCTATTGGAATCTGTATTAAAAATATGGTGTGTTTTCTCCTACCTGGTTTCTACCCATGACACCAATGAAGGGCACACAAAATTGATGAACAGAAACACTAAAACTCTACCATCATAAACAAACTGCGTATTTGATGTTTACTATCTGCCCTCCAGTCTTCTTGAATCTCCTTGGGTCTAGAGAATGTTATTTTGTGTGCTTTTTCAAAATAATATTTTTCGTCTCCTCATGATCGATCAAGACAGTATCTTATACTCTATAAAGAGAAACCTGGCCAACCAGCTAAAACCTGCAGTAATACAAAGACTGTAGGAAGAATTGTGATAAATGAAGGAGCTTCTCCCAGATTCCCCCAAGGAGGCAGAAAGCTGGGAAAAATACAATCTCTCAGCAGAAAGAGAAAACGAAGTAGAATTTAATGTTGCTGTGAGCTGGGTTAGACATATATACTGTGGTCTACTAGAGAGAGGGAAGGAAAAATGTGTCCGTGTTTCCAGGTAATGCGGGCTTCTCAAGTGTGAAGCATCAGACTGAGCATTCAGGTTCAGCTGTATGAATTCAGGTCCAGTCTGGAATAAAAAGCACGTGAAGTACCAGGATTAGAAGAATTTTAAGCCCTTGCCACTTTCCAAGGTTGCTTTCATCTGTGGCACATGTTGGTGTCCTCAAGAGGTTTAAATATGGGTTGGGAGGTCTGTCACCTTTCCCTTCATACCTGAACCATCCCCCAAACCAACTGTTAGGAGCATCTCATAGCTCAGAAGTCTCCAGTCCTCTGGACTATCTTTTATAGCGGGATGTCAGTTCAGGTCCTCTGTCCTGCCGTACAAAATGATCGAGTGACAGAATAAACAGCGCCTCAGATCTCACGTTGTCAGCCCTAATGTCTCGGACGGCCCTGAAAGCTCTGGCACTGTGACAGGTTGGGATCTATGCTGCTAGCTGAACTTTGGTGCATCAACCAGCCTCTAGTGCAATTCAAGGCAAGTAACAAGTTTCTTTTGGCTAAATTCCAGTTTCAGCTAAACACGAGTATGCAACACTTGGTGGATAGGAATTAGTTCCCAATGTTTGGTGATACCCTACTTCTCCTATACAGGAAATCTAAACATTTTATGCAACTATCTGACACTAAGCTGTCACAATCTGCTACAGCTGCTGAACTCTGTATTAAATATAATGCACAGTACTATGCCAGTGTGGGTGGACAACATAATCGGGCATCCTCAAAGGCACCTAAATCTGTGAGCAACCTACATACCCTGCCTGCATAAAAGGATATATTATAGTTGATCGTGACAAGAAGCTCTCTTCTAAATGCACTTTTGAAAAGCGTAATTGGAATTTTTAACCCATGCATCCTTTTCATATAATGACTCTTTCTTCCACCTGGCCACAGCATTGGTCTTCCATCTGATCTACCATCTACCATCTACCATCTGGTCTATCACCATCTGATCCCTATGGCATAGTTGTGCTTGTAAGGATTGGGAGAGGGAAAATTAGACTTTTCATATGTAGTACTTAGAGGAGTTTCTTTGAGTAAATGAAACAAACTTGATTTTGTGTGTCTGTGTGTGTGCAGCTAAAGATTGCTTTTGTGATTTGAGCAGGTTACCTTCTCCACTCAAACGTTACAGCTGAAAAACAACCTGGAGGAAAAAAATATGCCAGCTACTCTTCATTTTCAAGGCATAAAGCTCAGTCCTTTGACATCCTTTCCACTTCCATTCTTTAGAAATGAGATCTTGGGTTTCTTCATTTCAGGAGATTTAACCCAATAGGTCACATTTCTCATACCTTAGTTTACATTAAAGTTAGTCAGGAGTTCATCACAGAGCAGTTTCAGATTTGACCGTTGACTAATCTGAAGATAAGAAAAGCCATAGTACTGACATGTTTGACCGAGATAGCGTAATGAAACGTTATTTTTCTCCCAGAAGATTTGAATCATCTGTTGTACCATCCAAACCCAAGAAATACACGGATTACTGCAAGATAACAAGCTTCCTTCTGTACAGCATCTATCTATAAACCTGTCGAAATTTCAGCATAAGTTGTGGTTTTGATGGCAATGGGACTATTTCAAGGGACAAACCTAAGCTTTAATATAAGTGTTAGCAGCATTATGGCCATAAATTTCTATCTTATATTGGCTTTTGGAAGGTCACTGCATTTCTGTGACAGAAATGCTAATCACAGCATAGACAAGCTGTCTCTACAGCTTTTTCAACAAATACTATCTATATTCTGAGATATTTTATCTGCCATTAAGGTATACTGTAAAGCTTTATGTTAAATTAGTATATTCTACGCTTCCCTGCTATTGAGAAAACTATTTCAGGTTTTCATTTTGAAAAGTATTAACAAACAGTTGCTAGGTAATACGCAAACCCTAATGCTAAAGTAATTACAATACAGTATTTACTTGCCAGACACCTCCAAGAAAAAAACCCACAACACCACTTCAGCTAATATCTTTAAAGAAATCCCTTTTCTCTGTTTTCCTCCTCCCTCTCTGCTCCACTAGCTGAAAAGCCAATAAAAAAATTCTCCACCTCCTACACGATTCAGAACAAGATCTGTGTGCATTTCTCCTAGGCATGTTTTGAGACCCAGAAGGGGATGAAAGTAGTTAATGTGCAACGGGAATCTTAATTTCAGACACAAATCTGTACCTTTCTATTGCCTTGCTGATATGCTGCCAGCTAAATATTAAACCTTTTTTGATCAATTAAGTCCAGCCTGAGGAGAAGAAACAGTTAAAGAAATGTCTCAAGTATACTTGCATTCAGCTAATCAGACTTTGTGTGCATCTACAAATGGCACAGAACTGAAATCAATCATTGACAATGAAACCACAAATGAAAAATGGACCGAAGACTCCTTTCCAGGATTAGAAATACTGTGCACAATATATGTTACATATGCTGTGATCATTTCAGTGGGTCTCCTTGGAAATGCTATACTCATCAAAGTCTTTTTCAAGATTAAATCAATGCAGACGATTCCAAACATCTTCATCACCAGCCTGGCATTTGGAGACCTACTGCTTTTATTAACTTGCGTGCCTGTAGATGCAACACGTTATATTGTGGATACCTGGCTCTTCGGAAGAATTGGGTGCAAGCTGCTGTCTTTCATCCAGTTAACCTCAGTTGGAGTATCAGTGTTTACCCTGACTGTTCTCAGTGCTGACAGGTGGGTCTGATGCGACTGATTTGCCAGGAGATACCGCAGGTGTGAATCTAGAAATGAATAAAAGAGCAGGAATAATCATTTTGCACAATATTAAATGGCACATTGTAATAGACTTAAAAAAAAAAAAAAACACTCTCCCATTTAATTTTAAGATGTGTGTTAGAAAAATTGGCGCAGTGCTTTTTAATGTGAAGTGAGAAAGACTCTTTGGGTCTTTTGACCTTTTATTAGCTCAAAGTACAGTACAGGTTTTTTTCTCAGTTGCACAGAAAAGGAAAATGGCTTAAGGCAGAGAATAGACAGTATATTGGTGCTATCTAGTGGTGCACTAAAGTAGTCAGAAAAGATGGAAAATAAAACTGTGGCAATGACTGAGCGTCCTATGCACTTAGTGAGGCTCTGAAATCCTAGAACATAAAAGATTGACGTGTGGGGTAAAAAGCCAAAAGGAAACACAGAACAGATTGGGTGATGAATGACTCTCATGACTTGATGGCTAACTGCAATACTATTGTCTTTTTCAGCTTGGTAAGTGCTTAGTGTGAGAAAATATGGCACAATTTGACTATTTTCTCTTACAGTTCTTCTATCTTTTTGAGATGTTTTAGCCCAGAAGAAATTAAACTCAGGCTACAACGACAGCAGCGTTAGCAGGGATCAGTGTTCCCATGTCACTGTTGTCAGGAGTTGCTGAACAATCAGTTTTCTCTGCACCTCATTTCTGAATGAACAAAACTAAGATGAGATTTCAGTCCAATCAGCCTGAGCATGTCAAGGAGCAGAAAAAGTCAAAATTAATTTTACTATTAAGAATAAAAAGACTCTTATCTCGCACTCCAGCAATCACGATTATAATACCAAGTAGTTCACATGTCCAGACTTTAAATCCCAAGCAATGCTACTGTTTCTATACCCCCAAAAAAATCAGTCAACATCGGAATGGCCGCACTGGGTCAGATCAAAGGTCCATGTAGGCCAATGCCAGCCTCCAGCAGTGGTAGTACAAGGACAAGAAAAGACACAGAGAGAGAATATGAAGCACTACACAGCACTAACAATAACCCTAAGCCTTCAGATAACCTCCTGAGCAGATGTAGTTTCTGCCTACTTAATAACCTCAATGGATTTCTCTTCTAGATCCTTGTCCAGTCTCTTCTTGAACTTGTTTAGCAATGACTTTCACTGCCTGTTGCACAAACAACTCCTTTTTTTGTTTTGCATGTGGCTTCATTTGACGGCCCTGGCTCTTGTGCCGGAAGAGACAGTGATCCCTCCATCCTATCCGTCTCTCCAGGCTATTCAAGTTATATTCCATCCTTAGTATGTCTTTTCTGTGTTAAGGTGTGCAGAGCAGCACATGGTGTTCAAGAGTTGCATGAACCAGAGATACAGGATAATTGCACAATAGTATCTTTTGCTCTCCATTTTTTTCTTAGTAGTTCCTAACATTTTGCTTTTCTGGTGGTTTTTTTTAGGGCTTGGTTTGTTTTTTTTTTCCTACTACTGCTGGATATTAAGCTGATGTTTTCACTGAACTAACTATCAGAGCTCCAAGATCTTGGTCCTTTATGAAGTCAATTCAGAATCTATCATTTAGACAGTTGCTTCCATATTTGATTCTTCATGGTAGCTGCAATGTAAATACTCCATGCCACATTTTCACAGGGTAACTATATGGTAAACTTACTGAGAAAGCTCAGAACATCAGTCATATTTGCAATGCCAGACTATCATGTTCCAGCATGCTAGAGGAGCTCAAAGTCAATAAAAATTGCATTTATTTGAGAAATAGCAGTTTTCTGCTTGCAGTTTTCTGTTTAAATTTGCCTAGAGGAGAAAAAGACCAGATCCTCAGCTTGTGCAAAATGGTACAACTAAGCTGTCTTATCCTCCGCATCCTTCTTCACTGCCTTTCCTTTCATGCCATTCTTGTGCCCCCCCCTTGGAGGGGTCTCTTCTGTCTGCATGATCGAGGGTCACTGATATTTTGGGAGCGGGGTGTGTTGTTTCCTGTGCCTCACGCACCTTCATGGCAGTTGGTCCTTTTTCCATGTCCCGTTTCCACACAGATTTTTACACATCTATAGATTTACCCAGATTTTTCTCATGTCTGACTCAGTTCACATGCTGCAGAATTACAGCCATGAATCAACAGCAGTGTTAGCTCCTGTTTCATAAATATGAATGAATACCGGAGCATTATTTTGAGTTAGATCACTGCACTCAGCTGGGATCTTAAGTACATGGAAGAAAGGAGGGGTGTATATGCTTGGTTTCATGTTTTTATAAAATAGTTAGCCTGTTTCATAGCTTTACCAGTTTTGCATACTAATTCCTTCATTCCTAGGCAGCACCATAGGAGAGATGATTCCCCTTACTGATCCCAATCCAAACAGCAGAAGTCATCTTTACTTAGGAAGGCTTTAATGAGAAGTCTTGCCAGCCAATTCATTAAAATACATGCTCAAAATTAACTTTTACATTTTTACACACTTAATACAAAGAGCTAGAACCTGTTTTCTTTTTCCAAGCGATTGTATCATCCTTAAGTTTAGCGAGAACACAGATAGCTGTACCCTCAAGAAGTTTGCATTGTCAGTGCTTGCATTATTACTGTATTTATTCTGACAGTGATGTTGGTTGGTTTTAGGTACAGAGCCATCGTTAAGCCCTTGGAACTGCAGACTTCAGACGCGCTGCTGAAGACCTGTTGTAAAGCTGGCTGCGTTTGGATCATCTCCATGATATTTGCCATCCCAGAGGCTGTTTTTTCAGATTTGTATTCTTTCGGCAATCCTGAGAAAAATGTAACTTTTGAGGCGTGTGCTCCTTACCCTGTATCTGAGAGGATCCTGCAAGAAGTTCACTCCCTGGTTTGCTTCTTAGTGTTCTATATTGTACCCTTAGCTGTCATTTCTGTCTACTATTTTCTTATTGCCAGGACTTTATATAAAAGTACATCCAACATGCCAGCAGAACACGGTCATGCCCGTAAGCAGGTAAGCTCTGATCAAGCACTAACGTGTCCAATTTTCCAAAATCTATCATGCTGATTAAGTCTGAATTCTTGAGTGCAAAACCTTTACCTGATAATAGAGTAAAAACCTCCATAAACTCAGCCCATATTAGCAATCCAAATTCAGCTATGCACTTAAGCACATGCTCATGATTCATTAACTGTGAGTGTGCATGCTTTCCTAAAGAGCGATGGGGTTTGTTTTGCTTTATTATGAACCTATTAAACTCAGGAGTTACAACGTTGAAATGTAAACATGAGACCTCATCCGTGTGAGCTGACACATTAACTATTGCACTTTTATATCCTAGTTGAGATGAGATTGCCATGTGCTTTATAATGGAAAGGGAACGTCCTCTGCACTGGAAATACTTTGTTAAAAATTATGAAATAGATTTGTTTTTCTGTTGGTTTCTTGCGGGGTTTTTTTCTGTTTTGCTTTTTTTGTCATTTAGACTTTTAGACCCTTTTGAAAATCAGCACCAACTACATAAACAGTGTTACTAATTGCTATTAATACCAGATATGCATTATTTTCTTGTAGATTGAATCCCGCAAGAGAGTTGCAAAAACAGTGCTGGTGCTTGTTGCTTTGTTTGCCTTTTGCTGGTTGCCTAACCACATCCTCTACCTATACCGCTCTTTTACGTACCATGCTTCTGTAGATGCTTCCACCTTTCATCTGATCGCTACTATTTTTTCCCGTGCCTTGGCCTTCAGCAATTCCTGCGTCAATCCTTTTGCCCTTTATTGGCTGAGTAAAAGTTTCCGGCAACATTTTAAAAAGCAAGTCTCGTGCTGCAAGGCAAAATTTCGCACAAAGCCTCCCAGTGCTACTCACAGTAATACACCTACCAGAGCCCTGTCAGTCACAGGCAGCACGCATGGCTCAGAAATCAGTGTTACACTGCTAACAGATTATAGTATCACAAAAGAAGAGGAAAGCGTTTAGTCTGTTTGGGATCAGCCTTTGCAATCAAGTCACTACTACTGGGATCCTGGAAAGAGGTGCCATGCCCTCGCTTTGCCTGTGAAAGAGTTTTCATCAGGAGTTCCTCATTTTTTAAAATACACAATAAAGAAATCAAACTGTGTGGGAGAAGAAGCTGCAACAGCTGAACTTTCCAGCATAAGCTCGAAGGGATTGTTCATGCTCCCAAGCATGAACACAGATCCCTAGGTGGAATTCCTGGACTGGGCAGGACAGGAGTCAGCAGAGTTGATGCAAGAATTGGCTGTGAGGATGGTTTTGTTCTTGGTGACTTGTTCTTTGACTTGTGACTGAAAGCTCCATCAAGTACTCGTATCTACAGCAAGCAAGCAAAACCACGTATCTTCATAATATGATCAACCAGGCAGCTCTTTTACTTACTTCTTTTCTTGTCCCGAATGTTAAAAATTAGTAAACACATCAGAAAGCATGCTAAAATGAAAGAAAGCTATGGTTTGTAGTATGGTGTAGTAAAAAAAGAAAAAGCATTATGGGCCAGATCCACATTAGCCTTTGCTCTGTCAGTGACTTACTTTAAAACTCTGGGTAAGAGCTGACTGCTGTGTAAAGAGATGCCCTTCTTAGTTCCTAAGGAAGTCAAGGGAGCCATCAGGTGATCATCTCTCTTGAAAGTCTATAATCACCTTTAACCACACTTGTAAAATTCTTTGCAATGTATGGGTAAAACATCTCAACAGTGCAGAGTTCTTTATCGTTACAGTGATTTAACATCAAGAAATCGGGGTGGATCTGTGTTGGAGTTACAGTTTGGATTTACAGTGCACTTTGGCAGCAAACTGCTCAAACATCCCCTCCTGCCTTACTTTGCTTTGTCTCCCAGAGTGGTCTTGAGTGCACAACCTGGATTTCTCTCCGATTGAACTGTGCATCCAGCCCATGGAAGCAGACTAGAGTGAGGTTGAAGTAAAGCCCCCCGAAGTCTTCGGCGTGAGGGTCAGACTGACCATTTCCCTCCACAGATCCACTCCTGCTGTAGTGTACGTGGTCATATCTAAATGGTCTGCGCATTTTCAAGAGTGCTGGGAGAGCTGGACTTCCCTATTGTACTAATTTTCTATTCTTCAAGTTATTCAAGTAGTATCCCTTTTTATTATTAGGATAGACTGTCTTTATGAGACGGGCCTTCTAATCTCAAATCCACTGATCTTATGACTCTGCATGCCGATGCAAGTCAGTGGCAGACTACCACGGGCAGCCTGTGCATCCCTAAAATGCTCAGCAGCGCTGCTGGCAGGGACTGTCTTCCCATCAGGAAATACAGGAGGCAATTCTTCTTACCCCACATTACAAAAATGTTGACTGACACTTATTTTTATGAATTTAGTGTGGCCTGAACCAAAAACTTGTCCTGTGGGAGCTAGTGATAGAAAACACAATAGATTTTCCATTGCTTCTACATTAAAAAAAAAAACAAAAATGCATTAAAATATAGAAGAGAGGTTGCAACACATGAATTAAACAAATAATACTGTCAGTCACAGAAGTTTCCATTTTAATTAAGCCTTGAAGATATAATACCCCTCCATCTGCACAGAGCCCCTAACAACACGGTTGGAAATCCACCCATCCATGCACCGCTATTTGAGTTCATTATAAGACACAGAAAATCTACCTGCAGTCTCTCTCTGTTGACTGCCCTAATCAGAATAGTAAAACCAAACTATAAATCCCAAGGGCATTGGAATACAACCTCTGTCATCATCTTAAACTGGTTTAATGACAGCTCATTTTAATCCCATCAGGTCGGGCCTCATTTTACTACAGTCTTCAGGCTACAAGCTGCAAGGCTATAAGCACTAATTTTCAAATGGATTCTCCCTTTTATTGTACCATTTGTACACCAGGATAGGACCGCTGAAATAAATGAAAATATAACACCACAGAAATACAATTTATGGCAAAGCAGACTCCAGAGACATTATTTTACTCTCATTGTCTTAATATAACACATTGTCTGGTACTCAGCTATGTACAAACATAACAAACATATTGCACCAATATTTTCCCCTTCTCTTTTTCCTTAATGGAGCTGCAGGGTGAGACTGAAATAAGTAAATAAGCCTACACACTTATGAGCCTACTTTTTTTTTCCTGGATCTTACTATAGGAAATTCTAAACAAAAGAAAAATCGACAAACATTACAGTTCCTTACATCATTCTTTATGCTAGCTTACTAAAGCCTTTGGAACAGAAATCTGCCACGTGTTTCTGGACTTCACAATTTGTCTCTATTGGAGACCAAATTTCCCACTGCAAAATCCTTGGCTACAGCTCACGGTTGCCCTCAAAAACCACAGTTTCCTCATTCACCATTTTCCTTGCTTTGCATGCAGCTACTTTTTGCTTGTGTAACTACTCCTCTAACTGGATGGTCTATCTATGGCTAATATCTTCTGTTACAAAATTGATGTTTTTGCTGTATGCTGCACATGTTTTGGTTAAAGACTGGCAATATTTCAAGCCATAATTTACTATTCCGTGTACTTTATGCTTTTATAATTCTATACTTTCAAATCTTCATGACATGTTGGAGTGATACATTGGTCAACACTTATTTTTAGCCAAACAATCTGATAGTATTCATGCCATCTATTCCCCCAATATAACTATCCATAACATGACTCCACATTACCATAACTGGATTTAGGGAAAAAGGGTTGTTTCCATTGCAAGCCTTTCTCAGTGTTCCAAAAATCAGTTCCTTCACCCCTAGGTATAGGTAGAAAAAAGGCACAAACTACTGAAAGGCAAGACTCCATCAAAGGTCTTGTTCATATGAAGTCTTATTCAGTAAGTAAAGACGATCTCTAGGATGTACCTTTTTTAGTTGGTTTTGTGAACGAGATGTACACACTACCACCTTTAATACATATAAATGTAACTGTTTATGATAGCAATAGGTTTAGTATCAGTGCTCTAATTTGTGCTGTCATATGAGACGCTGGTTTAGTTTAAAAAAAATCCACAAAAATGAACAAAACCATGTCAAAGTGTGGGTATGGCCTAGCAGACTGCATCTCCAGCAAATGGCAGAGAATATTAAAGTCAGTTATGAAATTATAGCCATTTTAAAGCTCACCCTCCTGTTTTCATAGAAAGTATTGTTTGATTTTACATAGTTAAATATGGGCTGCCCGCTGACACCCACGTGTTTCTGCTAAGAATATTACAATTAACAAATAAGCTATAGTTACACACAGCTACAGCACTTGCACATTTCAATCAGTGGTACTTATAATTTAAAAACAAAAATACAAGCTCTAATCAGCATTTAGTTATGGGCTCTGCCACAGAAGGTCCCCTCAGCGCAAGGTGAACTGTTTTGTGGCATGTCCTTTGTCAGCATAGGAAAGTATATTGAATTTTTAGCACATCTGACTCTGGTCCTGTTATTTTTCGAACTGTGAGACTTCACTCTCACTGCTCTGTGTAACATGCTCCAGCCCCGTGGAAAGCCCAAAGAGGAGTAACCTCTCTGTACTTGATCACTATTTACTGTCTCCTTGATTTAACATAACAAAGCGTCTTAAGAAAAGGGTGTTAACTCTTTACCCAATTAAATATTAGCTAGTGAACTGCTGGTTCCCCTTTAATAGATAGCAAAACACCATTTTACAAAACCCAAGACTTCGGTACTTCTAGTAGGTGGTATCTCTAGACCAACAATCAGCTCCAATGAACCAAGATGGCTTTTTATCACACAGAAGAGTCAGACACAGATATGAAATCACCATGCTAATGCCTCCTTTTAATATTTACTTTGAGACTTTTTTTTCAGGATTTAAAATGCCATTTCTTGACAGCTTAGACTCATCTGAGCTCTGTAACACCTGAGCTCTTCGCACCATCCCCAGAACATGCAGCTTGCAGCAGCAGTGCTTGTGCAGCCATGAATTAATATCATTTCAAGGATGTGACTGAGAGGAAAGCTGTCTTAACTCAAAAATTGACAAGTTTTCAGCCAAATCAGCTCCTTCAGCTGACTCAGTGTCCTGTCTTTACTGAAGAAGAAGAAAACAGTTGGTGGTGACACGGTAAGAAGCTGTGCCGCAGTAGCTGCCGTCATACGTGCTGTTCTCTGTGGAAAGTGTGAGGGAATTTGAGGTAGTTTGTCCTCATAGCTACATTTAAGTGTGCAGACCAGGTTTACCATGCACTAACCCTGCTGCACAACACAAGCATGCTCTCACTTCCATCGGACTGAGATTAAATTTGGTTCTCACACAGGACAGTGCCCCAATGGCTTGCTGTAGGCAGATCTGCACATGAGGGAAATCTGTACTGTGTGGACACAGAGCTCACTGCAGTTACTCAGGTTATGAATGTAAAAAACTGCCAAAATCAAATAAGCATTTTAAGACTTAAATTATATTGCTCTTACAACGTTTAAGATTATGATTATCTTACTTCCAAACATATATCCAATTCCAATTTTTATAAGTAAGCACAGTTTACATTAAGCCTCTCGTGCTCCTCAACAAAATCCAACACCTATTTGAGAGCTAACACAAATGTCTCTTAAGGTGCCAGTTTATAAGTGATTACAAAACAATCTTTGGACAACTATCGTAATAGCCCTGCCAAGAGAAAATTCTTGAAGCCTGAAAGATGTCATTAACTAGGCTGGATGTTCTTTGTATAACAGCCAACGGTTACTAGAAGTCTTGTATTTATATCCTCAGGAATTTCATCTGAGGGTCTGTTGACCAGCCAGTTAACATGATGTTGGTTTATCCCTACAGAGCTTCACAAGCTCAGGATTGTGTCTTTGATTTTATTACCATTCCAGTCTGTATGACAGTAAAGACATATTTGTTCCTGGAATACTGATTTCCAGAAAACTTCTGTACCGAATATAATTTTCTTTTCTGACTGGAAAGGTTGCTTTGCTTTTTGTTGCAAAAAAAAAAAAAAAATCCATTTTGCCACTGGCAACCAG